TATTTTTACAATTCGGTTAAAGTAAATTTTAGTAGCATTATGATTAGGAGTTAAATACATCGTAAGCAACAATAAGAATTTTAGGAGTGAGTAAGAATTTGTAGACGATAAGATGATGTGATTTGATAACGTTTTGTTAATGTTTTGGGCATTTGGCCAATATGATTGAATTTATGCGATTCTTTGTTTTGATTGATTGATATCTTTTTCCAATATGTTGGATTAATTTGAATTAGTTTTCGTGGATCGATCTTGATGCCGCCGCAATGTGAATTATAATCTAATAATAAACTTTGATTAAGGGATAACCGCAAACATAATCTCTCGAGTTGTCATGGCAGGGAGGGTACATAAGGGGATGGCGAATAACAGCAAGCCACCCCTACTCCAGGTGTTCTCTTGATTAGCTTACCGGTCCGCGTATACAAGAATCCGAATATATCCTTTGTTGTTTTGAACTGTAGATTACAGTTAGTGCACTTAAAACTTTTCTTTTGCGTAGTGCAGTGTGTATATAGGGAAGATGAGGAAAACCCACGACAATCCGAAGAGCTTAGCAAAGAGCAATGCTAGAAGTGCACGAAACCGAATCTCCTTATACACTAGGTTACCCTTAACCCGGTGAACACAGGCCAGGGAGACCTGACGGGCAACCGACGATCATAGTCTGGCTGATATAGAAAGACAAGGGAGAACCGACTAGCTGGCTGGCTACTACAAACTTCAAAATCCATTACAAAAAATATTAATTTAGACACGTAATAAATGATCGGACCACTTAAAAATTCGGTTTGGATATGAAACATTCGCGATGCGCGTAGCTGCGCTTTGCAAATGAACACGTATTCACATATTCAATTCAATTGTTTGAAAGTCCTTTTAGATTTCGAAAAATAATCTGGTATGCCACAAAGAAGTTTGGATATTTAAGAGACGATTTTTTCAATTTTCATACATTTCTGTTGTAAATTTTTTTTTTTATTTTTGGCCTATGGGTGCAACCACTGTGCGGTGTTACCTATTTCCGTGTTGTCGCCCGGGAGGTTCCAAGAATTGTCCCCTCAGAGCCCTAGTCCAAATCCCTGCCAGGGTGTCAGGCCCTGACTACAGGCCGAAAATGGTAAGGTGGGTCAGTCTGTCTTGCCAAAACCTCTGATGGCAATTTCACCAACGAAACAGTTATATGTTACGCGGCTTTCGCCTGATCAAACATCGGAAGATGTTATAGCTTTATCCAAAGCAAAATAAAAGCCGATAGAGAAAAAAAATTAAGGTGGAAAAATTTAAATTTTCTTATCCTAGGAACATTTCATAAATGTTCCTGACGAAGTCCTTGGCACACTATGCTCTGCCCAAACCTGGCCACAGCATTTGGTTATCAAAGAGTTCGAAGGTAAGAAAAAGAAAAAGCGACAAGTAGGAATTACTCTTCCTAGGCCCGATTTGCCCAGTGCGCCTTCTACGTCTGTCAGTTCCGTCACAAAAAACTAACCAACTCCCTTGGTATTTCCTATTAGAATGCAAGAGGCTTACGCAGTAAGCTTCCTAAATTGTAATCTGACAGTGTCACATTTGCTTACCAAGTTATTGTGTTCACAGAAACCTGGTTAAAGTCGGAGATTCTGAGCTCCGAAGTTTTTCCAGTTGTGTTTACAGTATACCGGCTAGATCGGTCTATCAGACGTGGGGGAGGCGTCCTTATAGCGGTCGACTTCACTCTCACGTCCGAATTAATAACTTTCGAGGAATGCAATGATGCTATCAGTTAATGGTAATTCCATTTTTGTTACATGTTCCTACATTCCTCCATTTTCGGAACTTCCTATTTATGGGAACCATCTTTCCGCTATTTAGTTGGTCTCCTAAAGACTTTCGGATAGGGACCACTTAGTAGTTCTTGGTGATTTTAACATGCCAGGACCTATTTGGTCTTTAGATAATTCTACTAATGATTTTGTCGCTGGTTTGTTTGACATTTCGCTGTCTAAAGTCAACAATGTTAGAAATGTCTTAGAGCGCTTGCGTAATATTTGCTTTGTCTCTGATTCTGCAAGAGTTAGTTTAGCTAGGATGGCGCCCCTGACGCAACCCAAAGATCCCTGTCATCCTACTTTCGATGTGACTATCGACATTGGGGCTGTTCCACAGAATAAATCTTACTTTCCAGCTCAAGAAGTCTTCCGGTTTAGCAAGACGGATTTCGTACGGCTAAATAATTTCACAATTGATTATAACTGGTCCGATCTATACATATGCACTGACATGGCGGAAGCCTTGGATATTTTTTACAGTGCTATGAATTCATTTTTTTCTTGAATGTGTTCCGTTATACTGTCCGTCAACATCAAATAAGCTTCCTTGCTTTACCAAAGGGTTGACCCGCCTCAAAAATAAAAAATCAAATCTGTATGCTAAATTTAAACGTACCGGTTCTCAAACTGTCCTATCTAGTTATTTATTAGATCGGTCCGCTTTTACCCTGCATAACGCGCAGAGTTACAATAATTATTTGAATTGTTGCAGGTCCCAGTTTTTTAGAACCCAAAAGAGTTTTATAATTTTGTTAATTCTTAACGTTAACCCATTACTCATCCTTCCCCGCTTTTTTTTTTTTTGAAATACAATAAATAATGATCAGGCAATAGCTGATCCATTTGCTCAGTTTTTTTTTCAAACCACTTACTCCAACCTAGACCTAAATCAGGCTTATTCTTACATCATCCCCAAATCGAACCAAATCTTCAATCCTACCATTAACGAAAGCTCTCTTCTTAGGGATCTTCATCGTGTTAAGCCAGTTTTTTTACCAGGTCCCGACGGAATACCAGGCTGTGTGCTTAGGAATTGAGCCGAAGCCCAGTGCAATCCACTTCTCAAATTGTTTACCTTATCCTTAGAAACCTCCCACTTTCCCCTTATTTGGAAGGAATCATTCGTTGTTCCTCTCCACAAAAAAGTAGCAAATTGGAGGCCAACAATTACGGAGGAATCTCTAAGTGGTCGGCCATCCCAAAACTGTTCGAAAATGTCATTACTCCTAATTTGCAGCACCTGTGTAGGTCAATTATTTCTCTATGTAAACATTGTGTAATTAACGAAGATCAGTTATAATTGATAAAAATTGTAGATCTTTAACATTTAACATAAACACCTCTATATTTTGTTAATACACAGTCGAGCGGTAGGCCACAGCAACCAATGCTCATAAATTTTACTTATTTTTTAGTTTTAACTATTAGTTAGCTTTATATAAATAAATAAATACATATATATTATTTCCGAATCTCGTATTTAATTTTATGAAAATCGGACTGCTTTATCATAAAGCTGCCACAGAAACTATCTAAAAATTTGTAAACAAAAAATACTTCTCTCTTTTTCAACTTATTTTCATCTTCTTTGAGATATGCTCATTTAATATTATTTCAAAGCTTTGTTTTTATACCCTTGCAGGGTATTATAATTTCAGTCAGAAGTTTGCAACGCAGTGAAGGAGACGTTTCCGACCCTATAAAGTATATATATTATTGATCAGCATCACCAGCCGAGTCGATCTAGCCATGTCCGTCTGTCCGTCCGTCTGTCCGTCTGTCCGTCCGTCTGTCCGTCTGTCCGTCTGTCCGTCTGTCCGTTTCTACGCAAACTAGTCCCTCAGTTTAAAAGCTATCTGAATGAAACTTTACATATAGTCTTCTATATACTCTCACTGCTATATATGTCGGAACGGGCCGGATCGGACGACTATATCATATAGCTGTCATAGAAATGTTCGATAAATTTTTAGAAAAAAAATTATAACTTGGATGTTTTTTAACATTTTTGCACAATTTTTAAGACATGGCCATTATATATTACTTTTGAATTTTGGTAAAAATTTTATGAAAATCGGACCACTATATCTTATAGCTGCCATAGGAACGATAGGGAAGGTAATAGAAAAAATTATAACTTCGTTCTTTTTCAACGTATTTTCATCTACTTTGAGACATGAGCTTCTGGTATTATTTCAAAATTTTGGTATAAATTTAATGAAAATCGGACGACTATATCTTATAGCTGCCATAGGAACGATAGGGAAAGCGATAGAAAAATTATAACTTCGTTGTTTTTCAACGTATTTTCATCTACTTTGAGACATGAGCTTTTAGTATTATTTCAGAATTTTGGTAACAATATTATGAAAATCGGAGAACTATATAATATAGCTGCCATATAAGTGATCCGTAGATGTAGAGAAAATGTAAAGCTGGGAATGTATAACTGTAACTGTCAAACTGTAAACATATTAAGTATAGGTAAAATGTTATGAAACTCCGTTTAGTGTCTGTTTTCGGCATTATAATTTATAATATAAATATGAAAACCAATCTGCAAGGGTATACAAACTTCGGCGTGCCGAAGTTAGCTTCCTTTCTTGTTAATTTATAATTAAAGTCGAACGACTATATCATATAGCAGCCATATGATCGACCGATAGATATAGAGAAATATTATATATAAAGCTGTAAATGTAAAATTGTAACTATAAAACTGTAAATAAAATATGCATATGTAACTGTAATGAAAGTTTTTAAAACATTGTTTTTGCTAAGCATATATATTTATATTATATATATTATTTTACATATTTTAAATCCAGAATATAGCTATTTTTTACGATTTTAAAAATATGTTTTTGAAATGTTTTTAAAAACAAATATATATATTTTATATATACATATATATTTCGTATATTTGTCCTGTTATTTTTTGTTTTCACTTGACCAAAAGAAATCAAATTTAAAGGAAATAATTGCACACTTCAAGAGCATATGTTCATACGTTCGGCGAGCCGAAATTAGCTTCCGTTCTTATTGATTTTTTAAGATCCAAGATAATGCCAATTTGACCTTATCATGATTTCCACAATTACGCCTACGAAAACTTGGATCTCTTTTATAGTTATACACACATATAAGGTCACAATGCGAAGTGGGATATTTAAACAAGGAAACTGCCACTTACTCAGCTGCATCGTCAGTAGTACCACTATTTCGATCAGTAAGGCCTTCACATTTGATAAGAACCTCTTGTAATTTCTCTTGCACTAACTGCTCTCTCAGAGCTGATGCATCTGATTCCTTCCATGCATCGCCCAAGGCCTCCTTTAGCTTTTGCATAGCTTCTTCTGAAGTTGCTGTTAGTTCGAGAGCTAGGCGGAGCTTGTTTTCTGATGATAATATTTGCGGACGAAGGACTTCATTATCATTGACTTCATCTACATAGCGCCTATGCAAATTAAAAATAATGTCACTATATCTCTTAATGCGGGACGCTTCAAAGTGTCTTTTTGCTTCCATTAAAAATTGTACCACCTGAAAATCATAAGCTTTCGTTTTAAATTGTATAATATTAACATAATAGCTTACCCTATTAGCTTCATGAAAAAAATCATCATTAATGTCCGAATACAAATTCAGCTCAAGGACGTCCGTGTCATCTACTCCTTCGTCATACATGAGTTCTGGTTCTAATATTTTTTCAGTATCGTTAGTCTTCTTCGATTTTTTTTTGTCTTTATTATTAGGAGCCATGATAAAATATATATTCGTACACTGATATCAATTATTTTTTTTAAAGAACTAATATTTATTTTAAATAATGTGATTGACAAATTTTTCCAAGACGTCCAAAAGGAATTTTTTTTGTCTTGTCTGGCCAAATTTTCCGTCAGACTATTTTTATGATGACCCAATGTACGGGAACCCCAATAAGGCTAAAAACAAACTGATATTCCATTGATTGAAGAGACCACGGTTGGGGAACTCAAGGACAATCTTTTACTTGTTAATCAATTCAATGAGATCGGTTTTTGATGGATTGACACCTAGTTCATATATATGTATGGGTCCAATTAAAAAAAAATGTCACTAAACATAAACTGCCTTGCATTCAACACTTCTATATTGTATGGACTTCTATGTGGGGAGGGTACACCTCCATGAGAAGTAAATTTAACCGTTTTAAAAACAGGAAAGGAAGCTAACTTCGGAACACATAAGTTTGTATACCCTTGGGGTTTGAAATTGGGTCATTAAGAATCGACCAATTCTGTTCAACTTAATTAAAGAAAAAACAAGAAAGGAAGCTAACTTGGGCACGCCGAAGATTGGTTTTGATGTTTATATTATAGATTATAATACTGAAAACACTCACAAAACAGAGTTTCATTACGTTTTACCTATACTTATTATGTTTACAGTTTGACAGTTACAGTTTTACATTCCCAGCTTTACATTTTCTCTACATTTACCGATCGTTTGTATGGCAGCTATATGATATAGTTGTCCGATTTTCATAAAGTTTTTACGAAAATTTTGAAATAATAAAAGAAGCTCATTTCTAAAAGTAGATAAGAATATGTTGAAAAACAACGAAGTTATAGTTTTGTTCTATTAATTTCTCGATCGTTCCTATGGCAGCTATATGATATAGTCGTCCGATTTTCATAAAATTTTTACCAAAATTCTGGAATAATATAAGATGACCATATCCCAAAAATGATGCAAAAATTTTGAAAAACAGTCAAGTTATAATTTTTTTTCTAAAAATTTATCGAACATTTGTATGGCAGCTATATGATATAGTCGTCCGTTCCGGCCCGTTCCGACATATACATATAGCAGTGAGAGTATATAGAGGACTATATGCAAAGTTTCATTTAGATAGCTTTAAAACTGAGGGACTAGTTTGCGTAGAAACGGACAGGTGAACAGACGGACATGGCTAGATCGACTCGGCTGTTGACGCTGATCAAGAATATATATACTTTATAGGGTCGGAAAGGTCTCCTTCACTGCGTTGCAAACTTCTGACTGAAATTATAATACCCTGCAAGGGTATAACTTTATGTTTTGAATTATTGTGTTAGAATAATGTTTTAAATTTAATACAGTCGAATAAACTGATAATAAAATATAATTATATATATTTTTAATGTTTTGATTTTAGAAGCCCATATCGAAGAAAAATTTTTGTTTAATAAAAGTTTTTAAGATTCAAAACTTTTTCAAATAATGAAATAAATAAAATAATATAAAAAAAATATGAATTATTAATAACAAAAAAAAAAACACATTACTACAAACACCGTTATTGCCAGGGTTCGATCCACTCATCTAAATTGCCGACAAACGCGTTAACCGGCACGACCATAGGACCGATTAAAAGTGTGATGCACACAAACGAATATGAATTTGAAAGCCTTTTCTCGCCCTACCAAAGCCAAAATGAAATTTCGTCTCAAAATGTGTTGCCGCGTGCACGCACACATACACACAAAACTCCCTTACACTTATGCATTGTGTGCGTACCCAGCAAGCAACGTTTATTGCAATAAAAGAAATCTAAAAATAGAACAAGCAAATCATTCCCCGTTTCCCCTCGCCAACAAGCGTAAAGCAGGCAAAGTATGCCAGATGCGCTCTCTGTATAGTTCTATACTCTTTGGTGCAAGTTATCACTCTGGTTTCCCTTCAGTTTTGCGTGAAGTTATAAACAACTTTCCCAATATGAATCACTCTATATCCAAAGCCTGAATTCCAATTGGGTCCGATCAAATTACTATAAACAACTGACTCTTCGATCGCAGTTTAGCGACACTAGACAAAAACAATTGTCCCCAACCAGCCGAGCCACCTCTGTCGCTCATATAAACAATAAGCCCCTTCTTCTGCAGACTCTTAGGAAGTGCTGACACTGCAATCCTTACGATCCCACGCTTGAATCGATCAAAGTCCATTCGCTCAAAAGCTCACTCTTTCATGATAAGTCCAAAGTCCACTTTCTCAGGTCCTCTCTCTCTGAAGCTCCCTCTCAGACAATAAAAAGCTTTTGCATTAACCGAGGTATCCTATAAGACCCTATCGATAAGATAAGTTAGTTCTTAACTCACCCGTATCAAGACACAATAAATGCTTCGGCCACAATTATAATTTTTTAATTAAAAGTAAAATCTTTTTCTTAATTGGCGCCCAACGTGGGGCTCGCGAATTAATAATAGCCATATGATATTATTTAATTACCTACTTCATTAGAACCTTGAAAGAGACCACTATATCTGTAATTTTGCTTGGATTTTGCTTGGATTATTTTGGTAACACGACTACGGTCACACCGATTTTAAAAGGTAAACAAAAGCGGAAAACAAAATGTCGAAATGACCAATTATTTAATCGATAGTGTGCAGGCTAATGACTTCATTTGGAACCACAAAAGTCCAATTGGCGGAGGAACTGAATTCGAACTTCGATCCAGCAGTTCCGGTCTCTTCAAGTAAGTATATTGTAAAAGTAAATATATTTTTAAAACATTTAATTAATTTTTACACATTTAGTTGAAGTTACTAGAAAGTGGAGCAATCTCAAGTCGTACTACAATCACGAGAGTCAAAGACTGCTGAAGGCAAAGAAGAGCGGAGCCGATTCGGCAAGTTTGGAGACAATCGACAATTGGAAGAACAAATCCAAAATTGATTTCAATAATTTCAGCAAGAGAAGCCTTCATGTACGATTGGTTTCAAATTGAAACTTTCAATGTACATGCAATGCATATATATACATATACTTTTAAACCCCATTTTTTTTATCTTGTAGATTTTGGACAATTCTAGCTTGGACGGGATTTTCCCAGACTCGGAGATCAGCTCTGGTCTAGACTCGTCTAGCCAGCAGCTGAACGATACAGACGGCCCATCTACTAGCCATGCAACTGCTCGGCATGTTTCAAAAAGAAAAAGACTAGTTCACAACAGCGATGACTAAATGGAGTCAGCCAGCACTATCGCATCCGCTGTGAACAAGAAACCAGAGGTGGACATCGGTCAATGTCTAGGACGACTCGACGCTGACCTTCAGCTACGGGTTAGGAAGGTTATTTCGGAAACTATGCTGGAGGTGGAGGCGGAGCAGCTCAACAGAGATATGCAAAAAGATTAATATGAAATAAAAAGAAAAGGTTATATTTGAAATGATATGATTTTCATTTATTTGTGTTTTATGATTTCTCACTGAAATATTTTTCAAATAAGGATCTTATTCTTTCAGCTTTTGCTGTTGTTTTCAAATGTCTGCGATCCACTTCGAAATCTTCAAAACTTGTTAATATAGTGGCTCCATAATCGGATATTAGATCTAATGTTGACTTTGTTTTTATATTATCTTTTCTTAAAAAATTATGTAAACAAACGCATGTAATAACAATATGAGCAGCTTCCAGTGGACTTCTGTTCATTGCTTGGAAAAACACTTGGAAACGATTGGCCAGTATTCCGAAAGCATTCTCAACTACGCGTCTATTTCTCGACAACATATAATTAAATTTTAGACGACTTTCCACTTGATTTGCGTTGGTATATGGCTTCGTCATATCGACGCATTTCCGCGAAGTATCGTATGTCGCTTTTTTTCGAAATTGAGATTTTAATGCAAAATTGTTAGGCACCTAATGCCTCACTACCCTGTGTATTATTATAAGTGAAAACCCTATAGTTCCGATAAAAATTAAGTTTCAATTTTGTCTTTTCTATAGTGCTTCCTAAGAGATTAAATCACAAAAAAGCTTCTCCTGTAAAATTGGATTTTTCGACATACGATACATTCGCGGAAATGCGTCGATATACTCTGTCAGGGCAAAAGCGTCGTCTACAACGAACACATACGGTAGCTCGATGAATGTATTCGGTAACCTTGCTGGCGAAGGAATGTGCACCTTATCAGCCTCAATGACATATTTTAGATGCGAGTGCAACCAGACACCAGCATCACCAACTCGTCCATTGGTACCAACGTCAGCATAAATGAATTTGTAGTTTGCATCCACAATGGCCATTAAAATAATGGAGTGATCACCTTTATAGTTGAAATAGGTTGATCCAGCTGATTTATTTTGCAGTGTTTTCCGTCAACAGCACCTATGCAGTTTGGAAAGCCCCATTGTTCGTAAAAGTTCTTTGTAATTTGTTTCCATGCATCGGCTGTGGACGGAAAAGAAATAGCGGGGATCGTCTCCTTTAAAATTTTGGAGATAGTGGACTGTTGAATGCGGAACGAAAACTGCAGCGACGATTGAGTCTCTCCCGTAGCCAAATAGCGCAAGGTGACTTGAAGCCTTTCCAATGCACTTTCGCATTTGAGTGTCTTGCTTTGAAATCAAAGGCTTCACCATCTCCAAAAGAGTTTCAAACTGGTGTGGGCTCATCCGTAGTACGTTCTTATCCTAGTGTCCTGGTCCAACAGCTCCGGCAGTATTTTATGTGAAAAGCTTAAAATGTATTTTAAACCTTATTTTGTTTATATGTTAACACTGTTAAGGAGTAATCATAAGTCGGTACTAATCTTGGGTGATTATTGGATCACCCTAGAATTTAAATGCAAAATCAGCGTAAACATCTTTAGAGGCCGTGCCTGATTCCCATTGGTGCACGGTATGGTGAGTTATGTTGATGTTGCTAGTGTCAGCACTTTGCTGCACGAGCGGTCGGCTTGCCGGCCGGACGTTGGCTTATGTAAATTCATTTATGTCATTAGTTTTAATTCAGAAA